CTAAACTAACCAATTGAAAGTTAAGCTAATTCCGCATCCAACGAGCCCTATATGAAGTATTTTGGATAAGTAGATTGTTAATAAACAATTGCAATGTTAACTAATTGTTTATTAACAATCTACTTATCCAAAATACTTCATATAGGGCTCGTTGGATGCGGAATTACGTTAACTTTCAATTACTAACTTCAGAATTACGGTAAGTTTATTCGTTTGTAAAATATTTCATTTGTTATAAACATTAATTAATTAATTAATTAATATCTCAAAAACTTTAAAAGATCCCACTCTGAAAATTACATGTTTTGTAGGAAATTAGTCAAGCTTTCCATTGAGATAGTTAAAAATAATTTTAAAAAATCCGATTTTGAGATAAACGTAAATTAACATTTTGACCTTGAATCTCAAGGTCAAATGTTATTTAAAAAAAAAATTTTTATTAACAGCGTGTAGCTCGTCAAAAAAGCTTTAAAAATCATTATATATATGTTAACTTTTATGCATTCTACTTATAAATATTGTACATTGAAAAAAAATTTTTTTTTCAAAAGTCAAAAATTAAAAACGTTGTAATTCAAAAACTATTTTATTAAATTCAATAATAATTGATTTTTAGAGTTTCACCAACAATAACAACATTTTAGAAAAGTATGGATTAAATTCGAGAACTTTTAATTTTTTGTTCGGACATTTCAGGAATTTTGCCTCATATATCTATGTACCACGTGGCCTGTAATATTTCGCTTTTCCGCTAATGCTGCTAGTATCGACTTATTCTAACGTCTTTACATTTTATCCTGAAAGTTGGGGAAGGATTTCCGAAACGGCTTATAGAGTGGGTGCTCCTTATACTACTTCGTGCTAATAACGTTAATACCAGTGATATTTTAACGCATGGGAATTTCCAGAACTATTTTAGTATAACTTTATGCGTTTTTGTTAAGAAAACGGACATACGAAAATTGCTAGTATAGTATTGGTACTTTTAAAGTGAGTTCTTTCCGTGTAGGCAAATTTAATGTTTGTCTTTAAATAACAATGTTCATGCGAGTTCTGCATTGTAACCTAATCACAAACGTAAATAATTAAGAAAACACAATGTCTTCAGGTAATTTAAGTATTTACTTACTAAAATTTCTAAAAAGAATCAAAATACACTTGAAGAAAATAGAGACAAAAAGAAGAAGTATATTACCATCAGCGGCAGCTGTGATACACGCGTTAAACCCTAGATGGCGTTAAGGATGACTTTGTGAATGAATTTCTAAAATTAAGCCCTTGAGTGTCAAATGTGTAAGTGAGTATATAAGTTTTAAAAAAATAGATCAATTTATTAAAACAACTTTTTTGATTTGTACAAATATAAAAAAAAATTTTTATAACGAACAAAAATTTTTTTAATGAGAAAAAGTTTTTTTTGTGTCAAATTAATCTTTCTCATTTTATTGAGAAAAAAAATTTTTTTATTCAAAAATTCACAAAAAATTTATTCAAAAAAAGAAAAATGAGAAAGATTAATTTTGACACAAAAAAAACTTTTTCTCATTAAAAAAATTTTTGTTCGTTATAAAATTTTTTTTTTATATTTGTACAAATCAAAAAAGTTGTTTTAATAAATTAATCTATTTTTTAAAAACTTATATATTCACTTACACATTTGACACCCAAGCTTAATTTTAGAAATTCATTCACAAAGTCATCCTTAACGCCATCTAGGGTTTAACGGGTGTATCACAGCTGCCGCTGATGGTAATATACATATATATGGTAATTCAACAACTTTATGCACTGTACACTTAAAACACTTATTATTAATTAATTATATCTTAATTTATTATTATTATTGCATAAATAAGCAATCTAAATGTATATTAACCATTCCTAATAGTTATTTACAACATATTTCGTCGATTAACGATAATATTTCACAATGAACCGAAACGTGACCGAATCGTAACCGAATCGTAACCCAATTCGGTTACAACTCGGTTTTCCCAATCCGCCAGGGGGAAAAGCGAAATATTACAGGCCACGTGGTACATAGATATATGTACGTATGTGCACGACTGTCAGTTCGTGTTTTCCACGTGTTTTCGTAAGCCGTTTTCTTTGAGAGAAAATAATGTAAAAAAAAATGAGCAGTTGTTTTATAAAAGGGTGTACCTCATCGTGGTATACGATTGTTTACTATTCGCGAGCAGACGTCAATGGACGCAGCCATATTGAAAACTCTGCAGTATTTCGCTTTTCCGCTAGAGGCGTCATTGTTGACTTATTCAAGCCTCTAACATTTTTTTCTATACTACAATAGGCCATCCCTCTAACGGTAGTGAGTGCACCTTATACTACTTCAAGACAAAAACTAAGCTAGTTGAGTATTTTTAGAGGTAGAATACGCCTAAAAAATTTGAGCCAAATCGATAACTTGTCACCGACAACTGTTCGTTTTATCTGTGGAATCCCTCTATTTCAAAAAGTAATTTTTCGACACTTTAACCTCAATTTTTAGGGAACTGAACAAATTAAATTTTTTTTTTGTATTTTCTTGTTCATTGACACCCATTATTCAATAAACAGACGAATTTTGAAATAAACACAACATGATCATTTTTTTGTTACCCAGTATTATTTTGCACAGCTCTAAAATTAATCATTTTTATTCGTTTGCTAGTTCCAAATATGAGCTTTTTGATAAATTTTTAAATCTCTCACTGTGGCAGGCTTTTCTTTCAAAATAATGTATTTTTGAGCGTTCTTTCGAGCTTACAAATGTAAAAATTGATGAAGATAATATTTTAGTTCAGTCCGAATTGAGTTTACTGAACAAATTAAAATTCCGGTCAAGTATGAGTTACTCTCACGCACCTAGCGTTCTTTTCAGGACTATTTTGAGTTTAATATACGGCATGTACGGCTGTGCTGATTCGATTGACCAAAAACTTTTAGTTAAAGTCTTGTTCGGAAAGTACGAATTTTGGGAGTGATTGAATAATACTTTATTTGAGAAATTTACTACTTAATTGGCGATATCAGGGGCGTAGAGTTCACCTTCCTCATTGAGAAGATGTTCCCTGTGTGGCAAGCATGGCATAATAATTTAATAATTTATTGAAAAGAATGATAGCGCTACCACCTTCCGCAGAGGCGTGAAACGACTGAGCGCACGGTCGTGTTAAAGATTACCCAGTGGACAAAAAACATGTTCGTTCCAAAAACGTTTTTAAAACTTTTCATGTCAGCCAAAAAATTTTCTCGAACATTATTTGAACATCCATGTTCTTAAAATGTTTCAAAACTTTATTTGGCGGATATAAAACATTCTAAAACCGTTTTTAAAACGAACGTGGTTTTTTCCTCACTGGCTAGGAATTTACCAAAAAAAAAGAATTTTCAAACTTCAAACGTGGGCTGCCCTCTTTACGCTTGGCTTCAAGAAGATTTAGGTTTTGCAAAAATGGTGACAAAATCAAATAGCGGCATTTCATTCCTCCTTCTTTAAAGCTTTAAAAGTCGTAAAGACCAAAAACGTAGCTGATTTTTAATTTCAATTTAAAACAAAAATGTTGCTCACATCTGCTTTTGTTGCTAATTTCATATAAACAATTTAACCATTCACTAATATTCGATATATTATTGTGTAACCTTGTATTTATTGTGAATTCAAGGATGATTTAGAATTTTGCTAATACAGTCAACTCTATGAATATTGCCGCATTTTAAACAGCGTTTATGGGTTTTCTGAGAATTGTGGTTCCCCCACTTTTCCCATCTTACGTATACTTCTCTTTTGCTTACTTCCGTCTCCTCACTCCCCTCGTCATGAAAGTACCAGCTGGTAGTGAAACGTCAAATTGATTGTACAATATTTGCAAGAAAATAATATATTATAAATCCGAATACAGTCAACTGTATGAATAATGCCACTTCTCCTTACTTTTGCTCGAGAGTCATCCCACTTTCATGACGAGGAGAGTGAGGAGACGGAAGAAAGCAAAGGAGAAGTATACGTAAGATGGGCAAAGTGGGGGAACCACAATTCTCAGAAAACCTAGAATCATCCTTGAATACCCAATAAATACAGCACGAAGAGAAGGGCGTAGTTAATCTTACTACCATGTCAGTTAAATATACTAAACAGGAAGGTTTACTTTGGACTGACTAAACAGTCAGTTAAATGAACAATTTGTTTAGTAAAATGTAAGGGAGCATTTGCACAATTATCGAAGGAAAAAAAATTACCGACAGAAACGAAATGCAGAAATCTGATTAATTGTCCACAATCTACTTAATGTTGGACAACTTATTAGATCTCTACATTTTTATTCTGTAGGTAAATGTTTTTGTGTGACAAAACTATAGTAGTTCCTCTGACTTTGCTGTTTAGTAGGATCTGTACTAAACGTGATTTGTAGAATATACTGAAGCTCTTATCTCCGTGAAGGTTACACAATAATATATCGAATGGTAGTGAAACATCAAATTGTTTATACGAAATTAGCAACAAAAGCAGATGTGAGTAACATTTTTGCTTTAAATTATAATAACTTATATTTACAATTTCTTGTCAGGTAGGTATTAAGTAAAAATTACAAATTTAACTATAACTCGAAAAAAGGATCAGCTACGATTTTGGTCTTTACGATTTTTAAAGCTTTAAAGAAAGAAGAATGAAATGCCGCTATCCGATTTTGACACCATTTTTGCAAAACCTAAATCTACTTGAAGCCAAGTATGCCTTAATCCCCTGATTTTAGATGCTTTCTTGGTTATAATTGTTCATATAACTTTGTGCATGTGGTTTCAAAGCTTTCAGTATATTTGCGTGCATTGCCTGATAATACAAGCTTCTTTTTAAGTTAGGGACCTTCACGGAATTGGAATTGTTTTTATTTAACCGTCGAATGACTTAAGAGCCAATTATTTAAATGTTATAAATAAGAAATTACAATGAAAATTTAAATTACAAATTCCACTATATTAAAAGTTTTGTTCTCACTTACAAATCTTGCATCTATATCTAGAAGAAAGCACGTCATTTTGTCTCCGAAATTATTTGAAATATATTCATACAGTCGTGGAACACCAATACACAATACATATCTGGCTCCTAATTTGCCAAGAATGTCAGTAATATTTTTTGTCGTCTTTTCAGTAAAAAAATATTGAGCTTCCTCTTTATTATTATTCAGTGGTTTCAGAAATTCTGTTGGATGAGACATTTGATAATCTGTTAAACATTTTTGTAGATCGTGATTTTTATGCTTAATTATTTCTGAGTTAACGATTAATTCACTACAAGTATGGCAATAATTTCGATTATTAGAACTATTTAACATCAGTTTGCTAAAGCGCAAATATAATTTTCGATGATTATAACATGGCAAAACAGCCTTCTTCTTTTTTATAGGAGAACATTTTCCAGGATCTCTCAAGGCAGAACAAGCATAAAATTTTTTAAGTTTGCCATTAATACATTTTCCAAATAATAAAGTTGGGCCTGTAAAAACAAAATTTTTTATCACAAGATGAAAATATTTCATTAACAAGATATTTACATACGAGACAAAAAAATTTCCATTAAACCGAATTCATGCCTTAACAAAATTTTCATAAAAAGAATTTTTATTTAATAAAATTCTTATTTAACGACATCTTTATTAAAGAGAATATTTATTCCAAATGATTTTTATTTAACAAAATTGTCATTCAACAGAAAATCTACTTATTCTTAGCCTATTATTGAAGTGAGAGAATTTCTATTTCACCAAAAGTCCATTTGATCAAACTTTCACTTTTCTTAATTGTCATTTTATAAAACTTATGAGACATAGACTATCAATTTGATATAGTACTTTTACATTTCATTGAGAATTTTCGAATCAATCATAATTTTCTTGATAATTTTGGAATGGTTGATTTCAAAAATCATTCTGAAATAATTAGGCTGGTAATGGAAATACCTTAGATGATAATCGCCAAATTGAAAAAGTAATATACTGTTCGAGTGGTGCACCCGAATAGAAAATACGTGTAGAATATTTCGCTTGAATTGGCCTTCTGGAAGGCACAAAGGCGCATGGTTTTTAAATCATTGACATTATCACAAGAATAAATTACATAAACAAGTCTGTTCTAAACATTGTTATAAATAATTTAATCATTATTGTTTAATTTAATTGTTACTATTAATTACTTAAATTAACATTATACATATCTTATTGCAATATATTTATTAACAATTATTCATAATTGTTATTAACAAAGGTAAGTTATAATAATTTATTTTTACAATTTATTAAGGTAATTTTACATATATCTAATAGCAATTTATTTTTGCTATATATTTATTAACAATTATTCTTAATTGTTATTTAGAAGGGAAATTTCAACAATTAATCAATATTTTATTTACAAATATTATATTATTAATGGTTGTTTAAACGTCCATTATTTGTGTAAATTTCGAAACTAATAGTAGGAGAGCCCATGATGCTAAATGGGGATTTACTCGAGCGTCATCGGGATGATGATATTTTGTAGTTTAGATGATAAGGAAAATAAAAGGTTCTATAAAGTTTTCCCTTTCATTGGTGCGTTATACGTATACAAATTTTTAAAAATGTAAAAAAAACAATTACATGGAATTACTTGAAGCGTGTCAGATATTAATAGTTTTTAAACTTCAACGTGTCTCTGATACCAAAGGTATGTTCATCTGCTGGTTTGCATGGTGCTGGTGGCAATCTGGATGGATACAAAATAGAAAAACATATTTGTTCGAGCGCGACAGATATTTAGGGAGGATGTTAAATGAACCCTAAAATGCTCCCATGCATGAGACGTTAGAAAAGAAAACATTAATCAAGTGAGAAATATTAATTGTCACCCGAACATGTAAAAAAAATTATTTTTTCAGTGATTTCCTCTCACTTGAAACTTACCCAGATAATAGTTTACATCATAATTTGATAAAATAAAATCGTCAGCAGGCACAGTGAATAGTGTGCGTCAGGAGCCGGGCATAAACAGCATTATGCAATTAAATAAATTTATCACACAAATTACAGGTAAAATAACAAATTTTAATTGTACTGAATTCGAGGCAAAAAATTCCAACACATGGCGGAATTTGAAGATTTAAAACCAGCCTTACAAATCCGATGTCTATTGTTAATTGTTAAATCTATTGTTATAGATTCACATTTCTCTAATTAATTTATCTCATTCGTATCACATTAGCACATATTTAGAATCAGTCAATCGCGTTCCATTTGAGAGTCTTATCTAATTTGTTCTTCCATTTTCGATCCTTAACTGTTATCTCGCTCGCTTTGCTTTTTTTAACATGACTTATGTTATATGATCATAGTATTTACATACATTAACTGCGAATTTCCCCCATGCCAATATCTTCTGTCCAGCATCAGATTTGGGTCTAGCGAGACTTTCCAGACCAGGATTGCTAGACATGGTCTAGAAAATACTGAATAAAAATTTTTAGTTATCTGGACCTTCTATCTAGCACCAGAGCTGGGTCTGGCTAGATATTCCAGACCAGCATCGCTAGACAGTCTAGAAATTACAAAATAAAAATTTTTAGTTATATAGACCTTCAATCTAGTACCAGATCTGGGTCTGACTAGACTTTCCAGATCAGCGACGCTATTCAGGGTCTGACTAGTGGCTGAGTAGCACCAGAACATTGCCACTCCAGACCTTCTAGACCAGCAATGCTTGACGCTTTCTAGCTTGCGCCGGGCTTGACTCTAGACGTCCCAGAAGATTTTTCTACACGGGAAGCAATAGTCTTTCCTGGACTGACGATCGTTTCTTTTACCCCTCGTTCATCCTGTCCACCCTCGATCTTGTGAGCCTTGTTAATAAGTTCGTTTTTCATTGTCTCCAGGACTCGAACGCTGATTCCAGTCTGTTGAATTAGAATTATGAAAGGCACTAACGCGTGATTCACGCAATGTGGAAAATTGTATCTGCCAAAGTATCAGTCAAAGGAAATGACTGAAATCGACCTAAATCTGCCGCTGGCTCCCGAACTATTATCGGGCACAATATCTCCAATTCAGGTCAACGAAATCTTTTTTTATATTCTCTTGAAAAGTAACTTTTCTGCTATCGTCCCGAACTACGATCAACTGTTTTTAAAGAAAAGAAACAAAATGGCGGACTTTTTTTAAGGTTCAGTGTCGATTCACTGCGTGAACTTATGGTTTCACTCATGTCCGCCCACAAAATCCTGTCCCCCCCTAAAATCTAGCCATTTTAACCGATTGGGCTCAAACTTGGTATATATACGTATTTTCGCGAGTAGATTAAACAAAAATTATAGTGAATCCGATTGGAATTAAATTCAATATAGTTATTTAAAATAATGAGAATATTATCAATCTCTCCAAGTCATGTAAAATGTGAGACAATTAAAAGAAAACAATTCTTTTAACGGTTCGGCAATACCCTTGCTCTCTTCAAAAACTGAAATTTATTTTTAATATATAAAAAAATCAACAAAATTTTTTTTATAAAATATACAAAATTTAAAACTACTGGAAAAGAGAAGTCAAAAAAATATTGTGTCACATCATGGCCAAAACGATGACTGACAAATTACAAATAAGATCTTCAATATAAATTGTGTTCAAGGAAAGAAAATCCTTTGCAATAAATGTTAAAAATGATACAAAAATTTAGTATATTCTTTAGCAAGTCATGGAAACTAAGGCTATTTATTAAAAATGAATATATTTGTAGCAAAAGCTTTGTAGAAACAATTTTAACAGAAATTAAAATTACTATATTCTTAAAGTCATAAGAAAGTTTTCTTATTTTTACTAAAACTATATGAAAAAGGGATGCGGAATTAAAAAGCGCGCATTTTGTTTGCTACAACTATACGAAAAATTGAAAACGACGTTAATATAAAAGCAAAAGATATTTCATTATTTGCTACTTGTCGAAGGATTGAGTCATCGCTATTAATTGTTCTCTATTGTAGTAGAGGATGCAGGTATGGTTTATATACACAACTACACACGCACGCAGGTTCGCTTTGGTTGTCTTAACATATATCCCTACATAACTTATTGAAAATAAACATTTATGAGGCATTTCATATGAGAACGACATATGATGTCTCAGATTTTCCTCAACTTTTGGGTTTTGAGAGACATTTTGGTGTTAAATAAGTATGTAAAATTTGAATTAAAATTTTTTAATATTTTTAGAGATATTTGCATTAAAAAATTGTTGTAACATTTTTTTCTTTTTCTTATTACTTTTGTTCTTTTGATCCTACAAAAAAAAGTTCTAAATATTTTTTACTCTAAAAATGTTAAAATTTATGAAAAAAATTAGGGTCATTTGGGGTAAATGTAAACGGATTTGCTTAGTTTCGACAATAACATAAGTTTTTTATTTTAAAAAGCAATACTTCCGGCTTTCTACTGCATGAACTTGTTACTTCACTTCCCTAGAAACATTTTATGAGGTACAAAAAAATATTGATCAACTTGAATCGCTTAAAACTGACTGATTACATATATACACCGAGATTTTGAAATTTTCCCAAAATTCGGGGTAAACGTAAACACCCCTGTAGTTTAAAGAGGTTTAAGAAAAAAGTTATCCCAAGTATACTACTGTGTAAAGGGATGTAAAAACTGAAAAAAAATTCTTGGTAGATGTAAAATAATTGAACCAATTGATTGATATGCAACATATAAAATAAGCAATCATTACCATAACAAAACTAGTAATGTAAAAACTTGAATAACTTCAATAAATTTTAATAGATTTTCATTCAACTTGGTGAAAATAAGTTTTTAAGGTTGCTGAATAAGATTCTAAAATCGAATTTTTAAATTTCAAAATGGCGGACAAACATAAAAATATTGTTAAAAATTGATCAAATTTGCTTGAATCTCGCTACTCGGGGGTTTTTGAGGTCACTGAATACGAATTTGAAGACAAATTTAAAATTTTCAAAATGGCGGATCCAATATGGCGGATGAACCTAAAAATATTTTTAAAAATTGATCAAATTTGCTTAAATCTCGCTACTCGGAGGTTTTCGAGGTCGCTGAATACGAATCTGAAGTCAGATTTAAAATTTTCAAAATAGCGGATTCAATATCGCGAAAGAGGTTTTTAAAAATTGATCAAATTGGACTAAATTTCTCTGCCCACTAACATTTTGAAAATATGAATATCAATCCACCAATCAATCACTCAATCAATCAACCAATCAATCCACCAATCAATCACTAAATCAACCAATCTATAAATCAATCATCCAAGCAACCAATCTATCCACCAATCAATCACTCAATCAACCAATCATCCAATCAATCCACCAATCAATCAATCAGTCAATCAATCAAGCAATCCACCAATCAACCACTCAATCAACCAATCTATAAATCAATTATCCAATCAACCGATCAATCCAATCCACCAATCAATCCACCAATTACTCAATCAACCAAT